AAAAAGAAAAACAGGAAAGGTACAAGCTGAAGTTTTTGAAACATTTTGAGCCTGCACCTTGGATTGTCCTTTTTGATTCCTGTTCTCGACCACGTTGTAAACCCAAATTATCATACTGTACTTTTACTTTTAGGCTTCCTTTAAAGATGCACAATCTTAAACCCTGATCTCTGAGGCAGACGATTAAAGAAACCACCGCCTTATTCTCCGTCCTCTACACAGAGTATTCATCAGATGAGAGTTGTGAGTTCAGGAACAAACACTCTTTCATCTTCATGTTACACTCGGTGTGAATGGCTGTGTGCTGGATTAATAACCAGGGTGTCAGAGCTTGAGAGCTCCGGTCTCTCAATCATTATCCCGAGTGTTAACTGTCAGCCAACGCTGCCAAGCTCATGAATATAAATGAAGGAGAGGTCGAGTGTGAGAGCCGCCAAAAAAGACCAGAGACCTTATTTAACCTACAACATGGAGGAGGAGCTCCTGGACAGCTCGCATCTGTCAGGTTCATGTTCACCTGAAGCTGCTGAATAAATCAACCCCTCCACCAAGTTTTAACTGCCATTCAGAAAATTCATGCTGATTGACAAATCAACACACTTTTCTGTGACTTTTCACATTCGCCCAATCACCACAATTTTTATTTTCTAAAAATACTTTCAAGATTCAAAAGCTTAATTGTCTATAACATAGTGACAGAAAATTAACTGTGGTTAGAGGCTCAAGAAACATTAAAACATTCACACCCATGAGACTCACGTGAAATCAGAAAATCATACCAAAAGGACACAAAGGTGCTGACAAGAAGTGACCAGAGGCAAAGCACAACATTGACGGCAGTTCTTGAGAGCTCTAATAAGTATAGAAACCATCTTAAAGGGATATTTCTCCCTTTGAAACATGAATCTGTATTGACATTGCGTCAAATATGTAGTAGAAATGTGAAATACATTTTGAAGTTGGTGCATTCGTGGTCGAGAAAGGCAGAAAGTGACTTTTTGGCTCGTGGATGATAGACTCCAAATCCCAGAATGCACAGCACCGCAGGCCACTCCCACTAAGGTCAGGTTTACAGCTGTCTGCCAGTTCCGGCGGAGCGCCGTCTGCCCCCTGTTCCGGCAAAGTGCCGACTGTCTCCTGTTCTGGCAGAGCACCGTCTGTCCCCTGTGTCTGATGAGAGACTCGAGCCCCCTGTTTCAGAGTGGAGGGTCCATCCTGGTTCTTCGTCGGCGGTCCGGCCGACTTCGTGGGAGGTCCGGCCCACTCCTGTGTCTGCGTTGGAGGTTCTGCCCACTCCCCTGTCTCCGTGGGAGGCCCTGCCCAATCCTATGACTCCTGTGTCTCCGTGGGAGGTCCTGCTGTCTCCTGCGCCCACGTCAGAGGTCCTGTTTAAACCTGCGCCCACGTCAGAGGTCCTGTTTAAACCTGCGCCCCCGTCAGAGGTTCTGCTGACTCCTGCGCCCTCGTCAGAGATCCTGCTGACTTCTCCTGGACCGAAACCTCCTAGCCTCCCCCATGAACTCTTACCTGCGTTTGGTCTGCCTCCCGGCAGCCCCCCTGAACAGAACTGCCTGTTTTGTCGGCCTCCTGGTCGGCCTCCCGAACTGTCGCCCTCCTGAACTTTCCGGGCTATGTGCCCTGCCTCCAGGCCGAGGTTCTTGTTTAATCCTGCCTCTGTGTGTTTTCCCTCTGTGTTTGTTTTGCATTTTTCCTTTAGCCTTTTTGTTAAAATAAATCGTTTTTGTGAGTTTATTCTGCGCTTGGGTCCACCTCCTTGTTTTCCCACACCCGTGACATTCACCCCGTTAAACGCAACAGCTTCCAATGACACAAAATTACGATTTTTGCGTCATCAAAAGCTCCTTTTCAGACTTAAAAATACAAAGATTTCCCATCTGAGGGGAAAATGAGGGCGGGATGCACGACCATTCAAAAATAATACCAGGTTTCTAATGATACAAAGCTTAATGCAAATGGGTGAAGTATCCCTTTAAAAGTCGCCGTTATCAAACAAAACCATCGTCATTACCATCATCATCATCATCATCATCATCAATAATATCGAGACCATCGTCATCATCATTATCAAGGTCGTAGGTGTTCAAAAAGAGCTAGGTCTTTAGCTATTTCTTAAAGGTGCAAAGGGACACTGTAGATCAAATGGAGTTTGGTAGTTCGTTCCACCGCCAGGGGGCGACAGAGGAGAAGAGTCTAGTTAGAGTCTCAGGACTTGTAGTAGGAAGATCAACTTTATTAACAAATTAGACCGACGCCTTTCAGCTTGTGGCCTTCATCAGGGTCATCCAAAATGTCAGGAGACAAACATCGCTCCCAGCTGATAGAACGCTTTAATTGGAGTTTGTCCCAGACGCTCGCAGTTGATGTGTAACGTGTTACACAGGGGAAAAAAGCATTAAAATGCTGCAACTTGCAACAAAAACGCTGCTTCAGAATCAATCATTTCGAAAAAAATCAAAGAAAAAGGAGACTAGGGACTCCTCACCCAAATATGTATCTAAGCCCAAGCACTGTAATTAAATACATGTTTGATATTTTACTCCACATACTGTACTTCTTCCATCAACTACTCCTCTTAATCGCAAAGGACTTCTGTGTTGTTGTTTATTATTTCACTACATTTGTTAGACTTGAGGAGGTTCTGCTTGGGGATTTCAACGCCCACATGGGCAACGATGGAGACACCTGGAGGAGGGTGATTGGGAGGAACGGCCTGTCTGATCTGAACCTGAGAGGTGTTTTATTATTGGACGTCTGTGCTAGTCATGGATTGGAAATAACAAACACCATGTACGTGGGATGTTCATTGAACGATTCTCTGAGGTTTCTTTTACGAACAGAGGCATGAGAAAAAGTTCAAGTTCGAAAGAAACATTTAGAGAAATCTCGAGAGAAATCATTTTTGGAAACTATTGAGGATGTTATCAAGTACATTTTTAATGCAAATCCTTCAGGCTTCCAGCTTAACTTGTGAGTTTTAATCCTTTCATAATTTGGGGCGTGCAGGCAGACTGAGATGTCTGGGCAGACATCAAACATCAAACAAAGAAAAGCTGATTAAAAGCTGATTCAGCAGGTTTGGTTTGTTTGCTCCTCTGTCAGTGATCATTTTCCAAGAACAGCTGACTGCGCTACTTTACAGATTTATTTCCAACCGTTTTTCTTTTCTTTTTTTTGTTGTAAAGGAGAATGAAAACAAGACTGTCCTGAGCGGAGAAATCCTCCAGAGCTCCCACAATCTATCACAGCTTCAATCTATAATAAGACTCGTGTGCAGGTGTGCTTAAGGTGCTGTCACAGTCTGACGCTTTCTTTCTTACTTCTGGAATAAAAAGACGGACACAGATCTGATCCGACTGTGTGTCTGAATGACGAACCAATCAGCTGCTCCTGTTCATCTTTGTCACACAGAGACAACAAAGACGATGGAGCGGAAAGATTGAAGGAAGAAAGGAGAAATAGGTACACGTGCTGCAAAGACGACAAGATATTTGGTTGTTATTCTTCTGGATGAGGACAAACAGACATGAGCAGCATTCATCAACACATACAACAAACACACTTTCAAACACAATGATCTTGTAAAAGAATAGACCAGAGGTTGCAGAACTTTTCGCTTATGAACTCATTTATCAGTAACGGCACCCAGTTCAGACCCCTTGGCACATTTCAGACAGGCCCAGCAAAAGAATGCATTGCACCCTCATTTCAAATTTCTGCACCCTCAATTGAATTGAGGGGTTACAAACAAGCGGCAACCTCCGGTCTTGAAAAATGAAGCCAGTGCGGAAGTGCAGAATCCTACAGTTCATCGAGTGTTTACTTGGCCACACTCTGTACAGGGGGTGAATTTGTTTTTAAATTGGATTGACAGGTGGGCATGATGTAGCTGTGTGTAAAGAGGCTTTAAACTCGCCTCAGCTCCAGCTCTCAGCCTGTCGTTAGGTTGACTGAAAGTTAGACTGAGACAGCATTTCCAACATGACGGCTGCTGCTGATGAGCCTCCAGAGCCCCCTGTAGGAACAGATGGCTGACATCACTCAGACTTTGTCATTTAATATCTACAGTCTATGGTTACAAATGACAACAGTGAGTCGGCTCCCATTTAATTCATTCATGGTTTGATGGTCATGACCGGTGCCAGGACCCACCAGGATCATTTGCAACATGCACGCAGCAGCAGGGTTAACTTCAGTGAATCCCTGAAGGCTGCATTAGCATATAGCCTCCTCCTGCTGCTGACACTCCAGCAGATCATGGAGAGATAAGTATTAATACGAGCAGCAATAAGACTACAGCCAAAGTTAGCCGCTTAGTTATTTTGAATCAATCAAACATAAAAGTCATGGGCAAATCCGTTCACCGGGGGGCACATGCGGGACCTGTAACACCTCGGTTGTTTTTCATTGCAGTTGACAATCACTGAAGCAGCACCCCTTTTCATCTCAGATGCACCCTTAGTCATTTTGTTCTTAAACCGGGCCTGATTTCAGATGACAATGATTACCTGTCGAAGACCCCAAACTCCTACATTTATGCTCTATTTCACAGAAAAACTATGAGTGACCGAATTAAAGAAACATGACACAGATCAGGGCATCACACTCATCTCACAACTCCTCAGATTTATCTTGTGACCCTTTAGAGGGGCCTGACCCCCGCAGATTGTGAACCATTTGAATAACTGGCTCCACCTTAGGACAGTAGGTGGCTGCTAATCTAAAAGGGAGGAGGGGGTCATAAAGGTAAAGAGAAGATAGAGAAATACAAGAGGAGATATGAAGGGAAGAAGGATGCAAAAAAAAGGGTGGGAGGAAGGAGAAAGGGAGGGGGAGGAGGAGGAGGATGAGAAGTAAAGAGGGTAAATTAAAGGAGCATGTAGAGAAGAAAATAATGAAAATCTGGGTTTTCACATAAGAAACTGCTTTGATCCTTCAAGAAACAAAGGTCCATGTTGACATTTGACTTCTGTGTTTCCTACCTGTACATTTCTTGGGGCTGCCGGGTCTCTTGCCGTGCATCCCGAGCTTGCAGCTGAAGTTCTCCTCCCAGAACTCGGCGAACCAGACGTTCCTTCTGTTGTTGGACAGGGAGCGACTTTTGAAGTAACGGTCAAAAGCTGCAGAGAGAAGAAGAATATTCAAACCATGAACAAAACCCACGACAAACACAATGCGGTCAGGTTTGGGACACTTTGTACTGTTTTTTGTGCTGTGATTTAAAAACTCACCGTCCACTGACGTCCTCTTGGGGAGGATGGTGATGGCGCCCTCGGCCACTCGCTCCTGCTGGACCACCGGGGAGATCTTGGAGCCCCAGCTGTCAGAGCCCACCCATAGGAAGTGACCTGTCAGGTTGTTACGCTTGGCAGCATCCAGGATTCTCCTGGAAGAGTCAAAATGAGAGAGTGGAGAGAGTCAATGAGAGACGACAGAGAATCAGGTCCCTTTAGATTTCATCTACATGGAACATTTTCTGTTGGCTTTGTTTGAGTTTAACGGCAATGATGGGTACATGCTCATAACATCAATGCAACAAGACACTTTTTAGCTAGTTCTATTTTCTCTTCTATATCTTATGCCAGCCTTACATCAAATAACTTCCCATATGTCTCTACTTACACAGACAATCTTCAAAGCCAGAATAAAATAATGAAAGTTTTGTCAAATAATAACACTCTTGTCATCTCGATCTGTTGGTGTGAAGTGGTCAGAAAACTCAATCTAAGGCTGAGAGGGGATTGGCAACCCCCCAAAAAAGCCTGTTTTTACATCATAAACGAACGTGTTTACAGCCTGGTTCAAAAATCAATTTTTAATTTTTAATAACTCATTTGTTTAGATTTTATGAAGGAGAAGAGCTGTTCTCAATAAGGCGCGTAGTTAACATGATCGACAGGTAGGCAAGATTTAACGGTTTGTCAGGAGGCTTAAAACCCGCCTCAGCACCAGCTCTCAGCCTGTCGTTAGGTTGACTGAAAGTTAGGCTGAGACAGCATTTCCAGCATGGAGACCGAAATCCATGGGACTCCAAAGACCCCTGCAAGGAACAGATGGGGGACATCACTCAGGCATCGTCCATTAATATTTACAGTAAGAAATGCTGAGTGAGAATGCGCCTCCATTCATTGTTTATTGTAAGCAGTCACTTTGCTTTAGCGACGCAGACCAGGCTGGCTGTGCTACTTTTGAACCGCTTTCCTCCTTCAATAGGTTATAATCCTGCATTTAAAGAAGTAAATAAACCTTATGAAGTGCTGGTTTAATCGGAAAGACTCCTTAAGACAACAAGTGTCCAGAGAAGGAAGGCAGTGCGACTCACAGGCTGTGGGTCCGTACTTCACAGATATCATCACAGGCCAAGAGCTCAACTACCGCTCTGAAGCAAGCAGGACTGCAAACCGCACATGGTGAAAACTGATGCTAATAAAAGAGCTACACAGCTGCACAGAAACTGCACGTTGTCCACTTTGTTGAACAGGATGGAATTTGTCACACAGGAAGACAGTTTGAACCTTTATTTATGTTTGAGAGACCCTCAAAATCAGACTGCGTCTTAAATAATGACGTGACTTATATTTTGGATTTTTACGGAAAATCACCACGATTGCCCCCCCTCCCCATTCCACCGCAGGCTGGCCTGCACTCACACTGCTCCAGGACTAACCGGACTCAAGCACGGTTACCTCTTGTACATTACATCGTAAGACAACATATGCATGGCTTCACGGGATCATGAAGCGTGCTCACTTCAGAAGACAGGTGGACTCAAACAACACAGAGAACATGACTCAGCTACTTTACTGACTTTGTGTCTTATTTTGAGTCATTTTAGTCAGCCAGTAAACTCCGGGATTTAGATAATGGAGGCTGTCCACATTGTGTACCCGTGCTTGTGCTTGTGCATGAACTGTACACCTCTTCTAAGTGTGCCAGAGTCAAGGAAGTGTACCGTGCTTGAACACGGATTGGAGCACTCAAACTGGTCAAACGAACTGGACTTTAGGGGTGAAGCGTGCTTAGGGACTGTCCGGATTGCCTAGTGTGAGTATGCTCTAAATTGAAGCCAAAGGTTGATGGGCTGATGCAATTTATTTTGCAGGTATTTGGTCATAAACTAAAGTAGTAGAGATGAACAGAAGTCATGAGATGTGGACCTGCTAGTAGGGCTGGATGTGAAATCAGAACGATGACATTTCGTCCCGGCAGACGTGAATGTGTGCATCACAAAGATCGCAGTCCAGTCTCTTTGTGGATGATGTGTGAAGAGCGGGGGAAGAGGGAGGGATTACTGTCCCGATAGCGAAGGATTCCTGTTACACATGTTCATTCATTAGTTTAAATAGAATGTGCTTAAACAAGAGACATGAGCAGTCTGCTCCTTTACATTCTCCTCCTTTCCCCTGCTCTTGTTCTTCATCCAGCAGGTCTCAGGATGAGTGATTCCACTGTGTGTGTGTGTGTGTGTGTGTGTGTGTGTGTGTGATTCAGAGCTACAGATTAACATCAGCTGTTACGCTGATAACCAGTGTGTGTGCGTGTGTGTGTGCTGTGTGTGTGTGTGTGTGTGTGTGTGTGTGTGTGTGTGTGTGTGTGTGTGTGTGTGTGTGTGTGTGTGTGTGTGTGACACTCTCATTTCACTCCGATAATTGGAAGCTTGTTATCTTAATCTGCACTCAGCTGGAAGATGAACTGTTTAAATACATTGAGAGCTTACAGAAAACAGAATGTATGTGTGTTTATACTGAAGTCCTGATGTGTGTGTAAGTGTGAGCGTATGGACTAATGGGATTAATTTGGGTTTTTCATCTAGGATTCATTTGTTGTTAATTTCTAAGCAAGTGATAAAAAGTCATGCTCTCGTACTCGTACATCTGTCCAAAGAGTTGTGCATGATTGTAATGTTTATGTGAGCAGCACAATGAGACGGACTGCTCTCAGATGGGACCCTCTTGGGGAGGTTTCCTACTGTCATTGCAAAAATTGCACACTCGGGGAACTGCAGGATTTTGCACTTCCGCATTGTTTTCATGTTTCAACACCGGAGGTAGCCGCTTGGTCATTAAACTGCTGAGGCTGCATTAATTCACCTGTTGGTCTCTCGTCAATAAACTTGAATGAATCCAACGTGTGTGCTTGCTTGTACCTGATATCGTCCTCGTTAGCGAACATGATAACAGCGCGGGCGTTGGGCGTCTCCATCAGACGCAGGACGATCTTGTCGAACTCGCCGGGTCTCGGCTCCCGAAGAATCTTCAGGGACTGAGCAATACAAACCCCACCTGAGAGAGAGTGAGAGAGAAGGAAAAAGAGGGGGAAGAGCGACTCTGAGTTTTAAAAATATCAAGATATAAATCAGGAGGAGATCAGAGGACATCCTGAGTTTGAAGTCTGAGTTTAAGTACAGATTGACAGAAAACTTGACACTTCCTGATATTACTCGCTGCGACTTGCTGCCGATGCGACTCTGAGAATATCTTTCCCATGATCCCTCTCCAACACTTGAAGTTGAGTTGAAAAGTTGAATATGTCTGAACTTTTATTGGCGGCCAAAAACCACGAGAGAGTAGTGCCCGACAAGCGAGCTAAACCAGAGGAAAACAATGATTTTGGTCGTGATGCTACTGCTCTGTGTGCCTCTGTGTGCCCAACAGGGACAGATAAAGTTTTTGAAATTGAAATGAACATGTTTCTATGTGCCAATCCCAACTTAAAAGCACAATATGTCAGCGCCTTTTTTTGTGGGGGCGGGTTGTTTTGGCTCCACTTTTGTACGGCGGTAGGAGGTGGAGATGCAACATCAACCTTTACATACAGTCACTCAGTGGTTAATGACGACTCTTCAGCTCCTCTGCTGTCTCTCTGTTAACTGTGCGGTTATTTCTCTGTCTGCCTCATAATAGAAAAATGTGTTTTCATTCACTTCCTCGTCTTCACTCTGCTGATGTGATGTGTCGCCACAGGGATCATTAAACTTTCAGCTGCACTCTCTGAAACAAAGGTTAGGCGATTTATAAATGCTGCAAGACACTAAACACTGTCAAATTACCTCTAATGATAGTGTGCGAGGAGGACGACTTCACGCTCCACTTAGAGAACAAAATGTTCACTTTAGCAGACTGATTAATCAAACGCTGAGTGTGAAATCAAATTATTATCCCCCCCCAAAAAAAGGAAAAGGACCTTTCCAATGATGTTTCATTTGATTTGCTTCAGGCTGTCTTGTCCGGCTTAGAAGCATTTGAAGAGGAAGATGAGAAGGAAGAAGGAGGACAAGCAACAAGTGGATGAGCGGACATGTAGAGAAATAAAAGAGGAGAGTAGCAGGAGTACAAGAAGAGGGGACAAGTGGAAAACAACAAGTACAAGACATGAAGATCCAGCAGAACATCTCTGCACAAACCAGCCAGCTCATCTTCTTTTATTTCTAACTTAAGGACAGGAATGCCTCGTTCTCTCCAGTCTAAATCAATACTATAAACACTACATTTCCCATAATGCAACAGGACAACACCTTCATCAAACTTTCCCTCGCTGAAAAACATCTTTCAAACTGTCCACCTCCGGTTTGCTTTACATTAAAACTTAAAGTTCAAGCTAGAGAAAACCTGATGACATCAGCATGACATCATTAGGGCCCTTTTTCCTCCCACTTATTTGTTTATTTGACATGGACATACAGTAACATTCATACTGTAACCTTTAACCATGCACAAGTCCCAGAAGCCCTGCTCTTAGCGTTTATCGTAAAATGCACAATCCACAAAGAAAATGTTCCTGACAGGACCTTTAAAACAGCAGCCTGCTCTCGCTGATCAAAAACAACCCTTCAGGTGGCTGGTAGAGGAGTTTGGTGCAGCTGAACTGAAAAAGAAGTAATGTATGGAAGAGTTTGTGGTTGCACTTTAATTCAGAGGCGAGTACAGTCGTATTATGAGGACAGATAATGCAGTGTATGAAGACTGAGCATTGAGAGAAAAAGGTTTGAAAAAAAATAGGAAATAGATTTTCATACACTGACAACAATATCGTTTCCTCTGATGGCGTTCTGTTTTATTGCATTTTTATTCATTTCCCCCTAATGTTATGACTTTTTGTTCTGCTTCTGTTTCTGTGCTGCTGCAATCAGCTGGTTTCCCTTCAAGGTTCAGTAATAGAACTTGATGTTTTCTCCTCCTCCTCACATCATTAAACCCTCTGCATCGTCCTCACTGAAGACGCTGCTGCTAAAAACACACTCAAGGTTTGTCAAGTCGCTCCTGCGGCATCGCCCCGGGGACAAATAAACGAGAGCAGTGGTGGAGTTTTTGAACATGAACTCTCTGACATAAAGTACAGTACGGAAGAAGCTGCAGGAGAAGCAAAACTCTCACTGTAAGCTGTTCCTACTTAATTGGCTCTGAAGAGGATTTTTTTTTAATCGTTTGGGAAAGACGGATGGACTTGGCTGGCCGACTGTCGCAGAGATCTCAAGGGAGAAAAGAAACAACAGTCACAGCTGAAAATAATTATGTCCGGATTGCCTGAGCTCGATTCTTTAAGAGGCTTTCAACCAAGTTTAAAAAAAAGAAAGCTTTAATTGGTTTGTTGAGAGTTAAACCTTTTGTTTTCATTGACTTTTGTGAAGCTAAACTGGAAACTTCAAGTGATGAAAAAGTTCTTCTGAAACATTTCCATCGATCTTATGTAAAGATCCAACTTCATCAGCCGGGGTGGAGGTCACTGAGACAACATTTCATGTTCAAAAAAGTTCATCAAAAACCAAACATTCTCCTTTTTCAATAATACACCAAAGAAAGATTGAAAATATGTCCTTCAAGATCGAGTCAGTAGCTTTTTATAGAGCTATACAAATGTAATGCTGCTCAATCATCACTTATGGGTCTCCATACAATACTATACTTTATTGTCCCCCAGCGGGAAATTTGTTCTCACAGCTTTGCACGATTGGTGCACATGAAGAAAACATATAGCAGCAGGTAGAAAATACATAGCCAATAAGGGGCCAGTCAGCGTGGAAGCTTGTTTAGGGCTTCAATCGAGCTGAGGGGACAAAGCTCTTTTTGAAGCTTGTCCTCTCCCAGGTCAGAGTCCTCCATCTCTGACCCGATGGCAGAAAAGAAAAGAGTGGATTGAGTGGGTGAGAGGGTGAGAGGGGTCCTGGGCTGTGGTGAGTGATCTGTGAGTCAGGGCTCCGTAGTTAAGTTGTGAGAGGTTTTGGGTAGGTAGGTATTGACTGTGTCTGCAGAGAGTCTGTCCTCTTGCTTGTATTCTTATGATTTACATTCATTAGGAGCCGTGACTCACAAGCCAAGAAGGAGCATCTACCTATTTTATATCAAGCTGCAACCTCCAGTGTTGAAAGATGAGGCCAATGTGGAAATAGAAATAAACCTGCAGTTCCTCGAGTGTCCACTAGAGGCTGCCTGCAGAAGAACCGGCAGTCACATACACACCCTTTCTAAAAAGCCTGTTTTTACAGCAGAGATTAACATGTTTACAGCCTGGTTCAAAAACAGAGTTGGTCTGATTAGTTGTCATCATGGGGGGGGGGGGGATAGCTGGTAGCTGACCTGACTGAGAGGCGGGCGTCAAGTAACAGTTTGTTTAACCCGCCTCAGCTCCAGCTCTTGAGACAGCATTTCCAGTATGGAGACCGCCATCAACACACAGACTTCCAAAGCTTCCTTCAATAACCAATTGGCGTTTTGTCGCTCAGGCTTTGTCGATTTCTATTTACAGCCTGTTTTATCTCTATGGTGCACGTTAGCATGTTGACACTAGCTTCACAGTGTAACGTCAGGATTTTACTCTGTTTCTTCATGACTTTTGATTATGTCGTATTTGACCAACACATATTTTTAATCTAAACAGAAAAATCTAGAGCCCAAAAATGACTGAAGAAAATTTTGTTTTTGTGTCACCTTTAACTGTGACAACACACAGATCTTAAAGGTTGTTATATGGCAGAGCTGCACATTTAATTATGGTAAAAGAAGAAACCTATCTCTAATATGAGCAGATTATGTGTTTGGTCGGCTGTCATCTTTGTTCCTCTGTCCAGATCTGACCTGCTGTTGATACGAGGTGAAAAGTCAGGACCCTAATGTTCAGCTGAATGAAAAATAATTGCTCCTGTTACTGAGATGTCAAATGATATTGTGCTGTCACTCTCTCTGCAGCCTGACCTTCAAACCCTCACATACATAACCCTTTATAAGAGAGATGCTGCAGCTCCAATCTGATGGCCTCTCAGACCTGTGTAATGTAGTCATGAGCTCACAATGAAATCAATTTGCCTCTGAAAGGGTCTGAATGGAGCCGTCTCTCAGGGAACAGACTGCAGGCGGCCTCTCAGCTCTCTGTGGACGGTGTTACGATGATAACGGTGACGGGGTCTTAAATGTTTTTATCTCAATCCCTCGCCCTGAAGTCTCCGAGTTCAGCCCGAACACGCGGACTCACACAGCTCGTCTTTCTTCAGAGATAAGGCTTCAACTCTGGATGACATTTCCATAATGTTATACAATATTGTTAGAGCTTCCACAGAGAAGTGGGAGTAATGTTTTATCTAACAGGCCCCTTTTTGATAATGTGGAAGCACACACAGATGGTAAGGTGCAAAATATTGACTAGTTATCTAGTAAGATATATTTTTATGTGTACTAGTTGACTAATGAGCCTCTCACCCTTCTGCTTTGTGACGTCTTCAATATGTAAAACTCTGTTGTTTAAAGATAACTCAGTCATTTTATTTCCACAATTTGTTCTTCAAAAGCAGACAGCTCACAAATATTTAAATAAAAACGCTTAGTTTAAAAAAAAAAGGCTCAGTGGTTTCCTGAATAGCTGCTCATCGAGATCTTCAACGAATGTCACACAAACAGGAGGAAATAGAGCGTTTGTGAGGGACTATTTTCAGCGGTGGATTAATTCACATTTGGTGCTCTAGTGAGTATTTGGGGCAGCAGGACGATGTGTTAGCTTGACTCATGAACTAGTGTGTGTGTGTGTGTGTGTGTGTGTGTGTGTGTGTGTGTGTGTGTGTGTGTGTGTGTGTGTGTGTGTGTGTGTGTGTGTTCATGGTAATTAGGTGACATTTCACCCAGTTTCACAGCATGGCTCATTGAGGCAGTTTCTTTCCATTTTTGTGGTTCAGCTATGACTCTTAATGTCAGGTTGTAAAAAGGTTAAGAGGAGGACCCAAGTGCGGATAACAAAAAACTAAAAGATTTATTTAAACAAAAAGATCAGAGAAGACTCAGTCTTCTTTTTGCCTTTG